GCCATCGGCGGCGCTCGCCGCGACGGTACCGGCGGCAACAAGCGTCGGGGCCGGCGGTGCGGCACCAGCGACAGGAGCGCCGTCGTCCGGCGGAGCGGCAGCAGCAGCGAGCGGCGACGAGGCGTCGGGCGACGACCTGTCTGCGCTGCTGTCTTCGCTGACGGCGTAGGACCGTGCGCTGCTGGGCCCGGTGCTGGCGATGGGGGCGGACGCGGGCGAGCGGGCGGCGCGGGGGGATACGGAGGTGTCGGTCGAGGAGCTGATGCGGCGGTTCGAGGCGGCCGAGGGCGCCGCCGACGGCATAGAGGGGCGGCTCGACGCGTTGCTGGAAAAGCTCGACGGGATGCTCGAGTCGGGCGATGTCGATGTCGATGTCGATGGCGATCAGGAGGTGGTGGCGGCGGCGGCGGCGGTCAGGGGACCGCCATCCGCTCCGCAGCGGTGATGTCGAACGCACAGCGGCACGACGGACTCTCTCACCTTACCTTGCCTTGGCCTGCCTTGCCAACGCTCGTTTTCTACGAATGCACCAAGCGATGCTTCCTACAGCGGGAGTCGTTTCGTCAAAGGGTGTTGGGTGTGTGCCTGCATGTCTGCGGCGGGCTGAGGTCAGACGGAGCGTGGGTCGGTCGATGGGTCGTACCTCGTGGCTTCCGATGGAGTTGAGGGGCGCGAGCAGGCCAGGTCCAGGTCCAGGTCTGGGGATGGGGAAGGGGAAGGCGAGGCGCTGTATGTGCACGCTGAGGTTGGGCAGGCGGGGTGCCGGCGGAAACGTTGCGGAGGAAGCGGAAGCAGATGCCGAACGTCGACGTCGAAGTGGGCTGCCGGGCGAAAAGGGACGGCGGGGGCGGGGGGCGGGGTCCAAAGCAAGGTGGAGGGAGAGGCTACGAGGCGCGGGCCGGCCTGCCAAGCCACGCCACGCCTTGGTTACGCCCCTCTCTCCGCTGCCGTGGCCGGGCCAGGCTGAGCTGCGCAGCGCTGCGCAGGCCATAGCCGTTAGCCGCTGCCGTGTGTCATCGGCCCCAGGGTCGGACGGACGGACGGACGGGATCGCCCCCCCCTTTCGCCCGCCTCGCCTCGCCCGCCTCCCGAAGCCTCACCGCCGTCGGGCGACGTTGACCTCAAATAGGGGGCGAGGCCATCTCGACCTCATCTTCATCGATTCCCCTCCAGCACCTCCAACCCCGCACCGTGCTCCACCATCTCGAACCTGCGCTGTGGCACTGCCCTCGGCCCCGCCGACAGACGTGCATGCCCCCGCGCCCAGCTTGGCCGCGCACCCTCCCCCAGCGTCTGCTCGTTGTCCAGCGTCAGCGTCTGGAGCTGTCGTCCTTCTCCCCCTTCCCCCGGCCCTCGCCCCGACCCTCACCTTCACGCCTCGCCATGTCGCACACGGCACCCCACTCGACCGTCGCATCCGGCAGCTCGACGCCCGTGCCCCCCGCCTCCTCGTCGGATCCACAACTGGCCGCCACCGCAGCAGCCACCTCCGCGTCCACCGCGAGCGCCACCTCTCTCGACCCCAGCTACACCTACGCCGCCCCGCCCATCCCCTCGTCGTTCAAGGCGTCGATCCAGGCCTGGTGGCGCGCAAAACCCGTCGAGGACGCCGCGCACGCAGAGCTGCACCTCTACCGCCCCAGCGGCTACTTTGGCGGCGCAACCGTTGCGAATGCCCCCGCCGACGACGGACCCCTTGGCGAGGGCAGGGGCCTGGCGCGTGCACTCGAGAGGGCCAGGCAGCAGCAGCGGCAGTCGAGCGGCTCCTCGACTCCGCAAAAGCAGCACCACCACCAGCCCTCTTCCTCAACCTCGGCCTCGACGGAGACGCCCTCTCGCCTCGGCTGGCTATGGCGCCGACGCCAAGAGGACCGCGTGACGATTGCCACGCGCGAGGCAGACGACGGCAAGGTGGGCGCCATCCGCTTTGTCGATCTCGGCCCGGCCTCGTCGTCGTCGTCGTCGTCGTCGTCTCTGGGTGACGGCTCGACCCTGTCCCGCTTCAAGGAGCGCGTCTACGACACGGCCGCCGCAGCGCACCGCCATCGCGGCTCCAGCAGCGACGAGATCCTCAACGACAACCTCGAGGCGCCGTCCGGTCAGCCCGGCGGAGCGACGGCGACAACGGCCGAGGCGCTGGTCAATGGCGGCGGGTACACTCCGCCGGCGGGGCGCAAGATCAACATGCTGGAAATCGGCCTGCCTTACTCGGAGGCCAACCGGGCACGGATCGAGGGCGAGACCAAGGTGGTCCTGCTGCACGGCTACGGCGCCGGGACGGCCTTTTTCTTCCAGAACCTGCGCAGCCTGGCGTCGCTGCCCGCGTCGCGCCTCTACGCCCTCGACTGGCTCGGCATGGGCCGCTCGTCGCGCCCCAGCTTCCACATCCCGGCGTCGAGCCTCAAGACGACCGAGTCGCGCGTCCTCGCCGCCGAGAGCTTCTTTGTCGACTCGCTCGAAGAGTGGCGCCGCAAGCTCGGCATCGACCGCATGGTCCTCGTCGGCCACTCGCTCGGCGGCTACCTCTCGCTCGCCTACGCGCTCCGCTACCCGCAGCGCGTGCAGCGCCTCGTCCTCGTCAGCCCCGTCGGCATCCCACAGGCGCCCGTCGAGGCCACCGACTCGGCGTCGGCGTCGGCGTCGGCGTCGGCGTCGGCGTCAGCCAAGCAGCAGCAGCAGCAGGGGCAGCAGCAGTCGCAACCGGCGGCGGGGACGGCAACGGCGGACGAGGGCATCCAGCGCGTACAGGAGGAAGTCAAGAAGCCGCAGCAGAACATAGTGCCGCCCTCGCGTCAGGCTGGGCACGACCTCGATGCCAACGCCGGCGCCGGCGCGTCGACGTTGCAGCGCAGCGACACGACCGAGAGCGGGAGCAGCGTATCGCGCAAAGGCCAATCGAGCGCGCCCGAACGATCGACGCACGAGCCGCCGCGCTTTTCAAAGACGTCGCGCACCCTCTTTGCCTACCTGTGGGAGCAGAATTTTTCTCCCTTTGGTATCCTCCGATCCTCGTTCTTCTTCGGCCCCTATTTCGCAGGCAAGTACACGTCGCGTCGTTTCGGGGCGCTGCCGCAGGACCAGCTGTGGACGCTACACAGCTACTGCCAGGCCATCTTCATGAGCCGCGGTAGCGGAGAATACTGTCTAGCCCACCTCCTCAAACCCGGTGCCTTCGCCCGTCTTCCCATGGTCGACCGCATCTCCTCCCTCGCCGGCATCCCCATCGCCTTCATGTACGGCCAGCACGACTGGATGGACGTAAGCGGCGGTCGACGATGCGTTCGTATCCTCAACGCCAACCGCGCACACGACCAGCCTAGATCTTCCTGCTTCGTCGTCCCCTCGAGCGGTCACCACATCTACCTCGACAACGCCGACGCCTTCGATACCCTCCTCCGCGACGTCCTCGAGGGCAACGCCGACTGACGACGCGCCCGCCATCCCGCCGCTTGGGGGGCATGCGGACGGACGCAGTGCAATATAGACAGATGCTTTCGAATGCGATGCGTGCCGAGGCGACAAGACGAGTGTGGGCCGCGAGCGGGCCGACGAGGGAGAAAAAGAAGAGCAGACGAGACGAGGGGATGCTATGCGGAGTACGGATCTATGTTGCACAGAGTGCGCGCCAACAGGCGGCGGGCGGCGCCGCCCGGCTACATGACGACGCACTTGTCGTCCTTGCCCTTGGCGCCCTTCTTCTTCTTGCCGCCCGTCAGGTCAGTCTCGGCGGACCCGGCCCCGGACCCGGCCCCGGCCCCGGCCCCGGCCCCAGTGCCGCCGTTGCCGCTGGGATCGCGTCGGTGGGACGTTGCC